ACAGGCAGCATTGCTGGACTGACGAAGTAACTGCCCTGAGCCAATTCGATTGTACCAAGACAGCCAGCTTTCCTTATTGTATTCTTTGACACGAACCTCAGATACCAATTTACGCAGGCAACCCAACGGAATATCAGTAATGACTGATAAATGCCCCTCAGTTTTCAAATCTAGAAGAAACAATCAAAAGATAATTCACAAAAGAACAGAGCACAAAAGGCATAAATTTGCTAGGAAAAAGAGAACTCCAATATCTGAAATTACCTGTCATTAAAGATAAACCTACTAGTCTAAGAGTTCCTGCAAGAGCCTGGTAAAGCTTCTGACTGCCAACATAAACAAACCAAGGGGGCATACGTGGAAGCTTATAATTTTTCTGAATAATTTCTGTTTTGTCTTGCATTCCATCTTCCTGAATATATATGCGCTTTGGACTCTTAGATGAAGCAGCACCAAGGAGGGTCTTGTGATCACTTGTAAGTTGCAAGCCAGCTTTCAACTCATCAACTGAGTGAAGGTATCCTATGGAGGATGGCCTTGCTGAAATAAGCTTGTCAAGAGAACCAGTAAAAGCTGAACTCTGACTTAAACAGAGGGCAAAAATATCCAAGAATCTGGCAGCCATAACCTATCAAGATGAGAGAAATTTACTGTAGTTTTGAGACGGGGAAAAATAGATATATCAGACCAATCAGTCTAGCCATCCATCCAATAGCTTATATAACCTGGAAAGGAGGAATCACTAAACCAAGTAGATGTTGGAAACCATCATCATGATTTTTTTTTGATGGGGGCTATGCATAAAACAGTAAAGAAAAGACCCTTGCTTAGGTCAATCTGAGTATCCATATCCATTGTGTCAAATTTAGGACTTCTATTTGATGAAGATGGAAACAACATAGAGGCAAGGTTCACAACCAAAAAAAGACAAATTAACAGCCATATTCATTACAATATTGGTATAGAGATGGATGTAGGCACGTACAGGAGATTGAAGATGATCTGACACGAATAGAGGACCAGAATAATATATGACTGCAAGTAATTGTTGAGCATGTGACAGCGCAAGTGATTCATCACTCCCAAGAACCATCTTTGGAAGCTTTTCAACAAGCCTGTTTTTCAATGGTTACTTTAGTTCTTTCAAGAAAATGAAGTTTCAAAAAATTATGGCCACTTGCAGCTCTAACATGACATCATATATATAACTACCTGCTAAAGATCTCAGCAATGTCATGTTCTACAAAGTGTTTTCCAGTCGAGGAGAATAAATATTCCATAAATTCCTGGGCAGCTGCTGCAATTTCTTCAGTGTCATCAACAACCAAAACGCATAAGCACTCCTGCAAGTGTCATACACACTTTTATTAAGAAATATAAAGTAAAGCAACTAAAAGATTAAGATCCACAAGACAGTGTATCAACCAAATCAATTGCATGAAAATGAGATTAGATATATCAATCAAATCATTTAAGTTGTGAAGGAGTTAACTATGAGAAGACTTCCCTTTAAGAGAATTGTGCAAAGGTAATCAGAGTAATAAAACAACTTGAAGAACAAAAATGGTACAAAACTAATCGGAGACATGCTGCAACAAACCCATAAGTGTAGTGACATGTGGGCAGGGGTTAACTGAGGCATTCTTGAAAAGTGAAACAGCACGATATTGAAAGACTAACTTGTAAAGAACACTGGAAACTCACTCATTAGCTACTGAACCTTATTTCAAAGCAAAATGAATATGCTCTGATGATTGCTTAAAAAAAGTCTAGAGATAATATTTTTTGGGAATTGAAGTCTAGAGATAATATTATAAAGGACATTCAAAAATTATAAGAACTTATTTGAATATTATTATATATTATTTGCTTCTATTATTCTGTATCTTAATCTGGCACCATTTTGTACTTTTCAAAAGTTGCAACAGCAGAGAAGACATAAAAAATACAAAAAACATTATATAGTTACCAAAAATTTTCAATTTCTTGTCCCCTTTACAGGGAAACATATACTACTAAGTTCCAATAAATGGATTTGGGAGTTTACAGCCTAGATGCACAAGAAACTATTAATCATAGATTTAAATCTACTTAAAAAAAAAAAATTATGATAATAA